CGAATGGCATTCCACCTCGGAGGGAAAGCTAAAATTTTATGCTGATGAGGTTGCACTCTTGATTGACATGCCAAATAGAGGTTTCTCTGCATACTGGAGTAATGCCCCGCCAGCTAGTATGGATGTGCGACAAGTAAAGACCGCACTACTAAACTATTCACCAGGGGAGTCCTCAAATACCCTTTTACAATTATTAATAAACTTTTTAATGTCAAATTTACTTTTTCCCTCAAGTAACTGCAGAATGTCAAAAGAGTTGTCGTGTATTTGTGAGGATGTTGAGTCATTTACAGCTTATAACTGGCCAACAACTGTATGTAATTTTCTGACCGAACAACTCAATATGTGTGCCACGAAAATAAAGAAAGATTAGTCGTTATGATACATTACTGGTTTTGTATTCCTTCTAACGGTTTGTATTATTCATATAAGTTATGAAAATTAATATTAATATAATTAACATCATTTATTAATTAATTGCAGTAAATTATTGTATCATGTTTCATGCAGCTGTGGTTTTATGAGCATACCTCCTTAGTCCTCCCAATAGTGCCTGAGATTAGGCCAAGAATGTTGAGGTGGCCAGTTAATGTAAAGTGGAATTTGGTTAAGATACAACTAAACATCAATTACTTGCCCCAGCTTGTGAAGAACAATCCAGCCCCAAAAAGCATCTCCCACAACGGGAGACTCAATCCCGACCACAATCTCTCACATTCATTCATGTTTCTGATATAGTTTCTTATCGCAGCGATCCAGAACCAACACATGCTCACACATATACAGATACCAGCCCTCCTTTTATTAGTCTCCAAGAAATGCATGCACTGCTTAGAGATCATCATAAATTGTTCATAGACTTCAAAGGCAAAGTTGACAATCGTCTTACAAATATAGAGAATACAATTACAGAAATAAAAGCTGAAGTTGTTTGTTTACATAAAGTAATAAAACAACCTGGTGAGGAATTACCATTGAAACTGGCCACAGCGCCCCCACTAGGTAGCTTAATTCGAAGGATTAAAGTCAGAGAAGATAAAAGGAAACGACAACTCAGTTCCCCCTACATGGTATTTGAACGAAAAAAGAAAAGTAAACCAGCACAGGCAGTTACTGAGGAGACTGAAGAGGTACATACATTTCAAACTCATGATCAAATTCAAATCTTCTTTTACTAATATAATTAACATCATCTATTAATTAATAGGTTGGAGGTGTGAATAAGGGTGAACCAGACCAATCACATCATTCCTCGTCTGTTAAAGAAGAGGCTGAGGATGTAAATAAGGGGGAATCAATAGCTTTAGAGCCTACTATAAGTGATGATATTATTGTTGATCAACCAACTGCAGATAATAAGGAGGAGACAAAATTGGAGGAGAAAGAGGAGGATTAGGAACATGTGGAAACACATTATGTTGATGAAAATTATCCTGATAAGGTATACATTTTTTTCTTTATTAGTTTTTATGAAGAAATTTAATATTTAAATTATACAATATCATTTCGTTATTTTATAGGTTTGTCCAGCACCACTTGCAGTTGATTTTCCTACTAGAGAACAAATTCAGAATTATATGCGGGAAGCAATCGACCTTTGCTGTCGCAAATTCACCGACTTGTCAGTGTGCTATGTTTTTAAATTGCTTTATATGTCATACTTTCGTATAGATTTGACTCAACATTCATATGTTTGAAATGCAGAGGTGATTTAGTATTAATATGGGACATGTGTCGTTAACACAACGTTATCTAGATGAATTCTTCAAGAAGGGTTGGTTGGGAAACGAACAGGTCGATTGTTTTGCAATGTTGATGAAGGCTAAAAGATGTCAAGCACCACATTTATTTAAATCTTACTTATATGTCTCTCCATGCCACTA